AAGGAGCTTAGCAGGGATATGGCTTCAGGTAAAGTCTCAGCTTCATTCCCTGGGAGGAGCTCTGGACCACAAAATGTTTCTTGACTTGAAGCTACCACTGACTGGGGTCAGGAGTAGAGAAGGAGTATAACTCCCAGAATCACAGCTTTCATCACCTAAGGGCAATCCTCTGAAAAAGGTGACAGTAGCTGAGCAATGTGTGCATGAAACCTGAACTAGTAAAACTGATCACAGGGGATCCGTGCAGGAGATTAATGGTCTGCTAATATACAAAATATCAGATATTAAATGTGTGGTGTTTCTAAAATAGCTGCTTTTATTGGGCCCAATTTATGACCCTTCTTAGACTTTCTTGGCTTTACCTGTTTCCTGGGCCCTCAACTGGTTGGACAGAGAGGGCCCCTGCCCCAACACCACTGCCCCATTTCTAAATGTCAGGCACTGACCCCACCTTCCCTGGGGAGGCCAACTTCAGCATGTCCACCATTTTACCCACCACAGTGTGAGCTGCAACGACCACAGTCCAGACGTGAGTCTCCAGGGGAAACTCACAGAGGTGGTGGTTCCCCTGCCCTGTATTTCGAGACTCAGGATACCATACTGTGAGACATGACCTCTGGCTTCCTTCGTGGCTGTCCTCTATGGCAGAGGGGTCAGGTGCACAACTAGAAGGAACATGGGAGCTAAGTGTCACAGGGAAAACCTATAAATGGATTCCTTTGGTTCTTTTTCTCTGATGGATTTGTGGTTCTGTAGAAGGTGCCTGGAGATCTGAGCAAGTGGTTCTGTTTTCTGTTCTAAAGCTATGGCCAAGGCAACCACCACCTCGTATCTACTTTCCCTTCTTCCTTGTTTCACTTCCCCTTTTCCTTCATTCTTCCTGCTCTGCAGCTGCACCCCTAAACCTCCCCAAAAATATATTAGTGTGTACCTTAACCCAGTTACAAAGACTTACTCTTCCATCCACAACAACAGCGAAATGAAAAACCAAACAGAGCCTGAAACAAAGACAGTACCCCTAGAGATTCAAAGTTTCAACCCAATGTATGAATCCTCAACTGGTGGACTGCCATTGTAAAACATCAGGGGAAATTTTTTTGAGTAAAGAGAGGGTGATCCTAAAATTGTTCTTTTTATTCTATCTTAACAATGTCAATCCTATTAAAATCTAAGTGGATGCTGAGGAGAAATCCCTATGATGCTACAAAGACTTTCCTTTTGTTATGATTTTCATGAATTGGCTCAGAGCCACGATCACTCTGGTGAGGCACTGAACTTCGAAACAATGCAGAGAAGAATGTACACCCTGGAAGCTGATTTTCCTGAAGGAACTCATAAAGGGAACTGGCGTGATGCAAGTGATGTGAAACATCCTTGGTTTTCAAAAACAAATTGACTTGCGATGTAGCTCCAGTCATATTTAGGCCAGCAGTTATGAGGCTAAGTCTAGTCTTGAGGGTTAGTGATGGGCAGGCTAGAGAGTCTGGCCTGAACACAAATGAAGTTTGTCATTATTGTCACAGTTAGTGTTGATGGCTGCAGTCAGTGTGGTCTGTAGCTGTCAAGATGGGTCCAGGGGTAGTTGTTCTGTTCTCCCTATTTTATGCTTGTAGAATGGCCTCAATTTTTCTCTTCTGATTAGTCTTAGCATCTGGATTTCTTTTTGCCATGTTCCATTACAGAGGCTGCTTCTCTGCTTTTCTCCCCCACATCTGGAGTCCAGCCAAAATGTACCAGAACAAGATGCTTCTAACATTTGAACCCTTTTGTAAGGGTGCTGATTGCAACTTGGGTAACTTCAGTTTAATTCAAGGTGGAAGATTTCTGCTGCTTTTGGGGAAGAAAATAAATGTCTAAAAATAAAACTTGGGCATAAAAATAGGGCCAAATACTCATTAACTGCCTCACTTAGCTGAATGCTGAAATTATTTCAACAGAGCTAAATCAAGCATTTATGTAGAAGAGGTTGAGTATGTTTTTTTATTCATAGTACTTTATCTTAGATGATAAATGGGTTACTGTAATTTGTCATTTTATTCAAAAGACATGAATTAAGTAGTTCTCAAGGGCCTAATTTTCAGCTCATGCTGACCCTTGAATTGGAGCACTTGTGTTCACAAGCTTTTTTAGAATGTATGTTGTGGGCTTTTATGGAAGAGGCTGGAGGGGCAGGTAGGACCAGGAGCCAGAGTATGCAAGGCTTGGTAGGCTAGGGTTAAAAATTTGGGTCTGAATATGGTGGGAAGCCACTGGAAGGATTTCAGTAGGAGGATGTCATAGAATGATTTACATTTAAAAATATGACTCTTGGCTGCTGCATTGATAGTGGACTGTAAGCAGTAACCAGTCAGATATCTATTTTAGATATTTCAGGTAAGAGATGATAGTGGCTTTGGAAGAGACAGTAATGGTAGAGTTGGTGAATGCACAAATAATGGAGCTTTATCTAAGCCATTAACAAAAATGACTGGGAGTAATTCTGGGTAATTTTGTTGTCTTGTTTGGGGTAAGGCAGGGAGAAATGGTAAAGGGAATGAGGTAAAAATCAAGGGTTCATGTTGATTCTCTGATGCTTATAAGGCATCTAAGTGAACCAATCAGATGGACAATTGAATATATGACCTGGACTCAATAGATAAGTTTCAGAATCCTTCACATACAGAATGACATTCAGAGCCATGGAATAGAAGAACTCCCCTAGGGAGAGAGTCCAGAGAAAGTATAAGACTTGAGAACTTCCCTTATTTCCACATAAATAGGGCAAGCAGAGGGGGAACAGCAGTGAGGAAGAAAAAACCAGGAGAACAAGTTGGGCTGGAAACAAGAGAAGAATCTTCCATCAGAGAGGTAAGGACCAATTATGTTGAATTCTGCTGTGAGATTGGATAGGATGAGGACAAATCATATCTATTGTTTTGGCAACGTGGAAGTTCTTGGAAACATTGACAGGGGCAGTTTATGACCTGTCACACAGATAGACGCCAGAGTGGATTGAGGGGAATTAGTAAAAGGAAAATGGGGGTGGCTCTTTGGACAATTCTTTCAAGAAGTTAATAGAGCTAAGACATAGGTAGACAGCTAATCAAGAGCCAGAGGAGAATATGGTGGGGCTTTTTCCATGTTCTTAAGATAGGACTTATTGGGGCATATATACTCAGGGGCTTGATCTAGTGGAGAGAGAGAAACTGATGATACGTTAGAGGAAGGGATATATTTGCAGGGATAAATTTCTTGAATGTAAAAAATATGGGAAGCAGGGCAAAAGTGAAAGGGTTGGCTTTCTGTAAGAGGAGAAGGGGAGACAGAAAGAGTAGACACAGCTGTTAATGGGTTGGTTGAATTGGTGGTGGGGGTGAGGAAGTATCCATAACTGTCATTAATGAAGGCAAAGCATCAGCTGAAAGAGACATGGGAGAAAAGAAACATTGGAATTTTCAAGGAAAGGTAGCAAATATTGGAATCATTATGAATAATGAGAAAGTGAACCTATATAGTAAGACCGTGGATATGGAATGCCCCAAAGTTACATTAAGCAAGGTGGATCTGAATTAATTATTGCTTGGAAAGAAAATGCTTTTTTTGCTTGTTTGTTTTTTTTTAAGTAGCCTACAAAGGTAAAAGTGTTGTTAAATATTTACATATGTTCATAGCAGAAAATGGGTTTAATGATTACTTGTAATCTTACTATTCAGAAATAATCATTGTGATACATCTTTTCATACATTATACATGCAAATACATCAATAAGAAAAAATATAAAGGTCTTATTTTCATAACTAATACTATTTTATAAGTTTTTGCTTTGCCATTTTATCTATTGCTCTGAGCTACTGGAGTGATAACTTTGTCATACTGCAAATGTATTCCCTGATTATTTGTATTTTAATATGTTCTTATTGCTTTTCCAATTTTTATGTAGACATATCTATTATAAAAAATGTATAGTCCTGTTAAAAAAGGTCCTCTTCTAAGGCCATACATACAATTATTTTCTTCTAGTATTTAAAAGATAAAGATGAAACTATAAATTATTCTATCAGGTTTAATTTTGCTGTGATGAAGGACACAGATGTATTTTTTAGAATAGTCTTAATTATTCTTAAATATCATATCCTACAATAAATTTATGACACAACTTTTTAATAGTGAGGATCCCAAATTATTTCTTTAAAATTTTCTTTTAGAGGTATTTAAAACTAATTATATGCTATCCCTTAAAAAGAGTAAAAATTATCTATAATCCCATCACCAGAGAAAAGCAGTTATATTTTACTTACTTGGAATTATATTGTATGTATACAGTTTGCCATCTATATTTTCTTCTGTGTTTTAGTTTTTGAAACACTCATTGTGAATCATGATTTTAATAACTGATTTATGATTTGTACTATTATTATAATAGAATATATTTCCAGATTTTGTTTTGTTTTTGTGTGTGATTATAAATAACACCATAGTTAACATAATTGGTGTTAATATTTAACTGAATTTGTTTTTAGTATATTTACTATAAAAGCAATACATGTCCATTGTGGAAAGCTTTAAAAATAAAGACAGAAACTGTTATCCAGAGAACCACTGTTGAACATATACCAAATCTTTATTCATTCAACAGCCATTTTTCAATACCTACTATATAGTAGACGCTGCTTTAGATGTGAACTCTGCTCCACAGAGTTAACATCCTAGTGTATATTTAGTCATATGTCATGTCTTTCTCTGATGTGCAGAAATGTGTGTGCTTTTAAAAAGAGACTATGCTACTTACAAGTTACATTGTATTCTGGTTTTTCTCCTATAACATTAAGAACTTCTTTCCATGCCATTGAACCATCTATTACAGTATCATCTTTAGTGGCTGCAGAAGAATGATTTGTGTGGATGTACTGTAGTTTATTTAACTGATCTCCTATAGTCAGACACTCTTTTCCAATTCCTGTTTGCATTTGAAATCCATACATAATATGCATATTTTGCTTGTCTTTGATAGTATAGCTAGTATGACCTCCACAAGACATGAAGGCACAGGTGGTGCTGTCCATCATCCTCATTCTTGTACCATCTCTAAGTGGATTTCATGGTGAGTTCCTTTATAATACACCCAGGTGTTAGTTGTTTGTATCAGGAGCTAGGAACATGAGCACACAATGCAAGGTGGCGGTGTCCTCTGTAACCATAGCATTGTGAACTTTTCTAAAAGATCACTTAATGAGAAACAGGAAAACAGACTGGAGGTCCTGCATGAAGATTAAAAATGACATTTTCTCCTGTCTACTCTAAGGCTTTTTCTAATCTGTCATCTGCTACCAGATATAAAATCACTAGAAAGACAAGTTTGATTGATTGGTGATTGATTTTTTTTTTTCAAGTGTAAGCTTGGTACTTAACACTTAACAGAAAGCATTATCCACTTTGCTTGGTCCTGTGATGAGCATTTTTAATTATCTAAGGGAATATTAGAGGTGTTTAGTAGAGCAATTAGGGAGATTGACAAAAACCACTCCTTCCCCCCCACCACCACCTTTCTGTGTCTTTCTCTCAGCATAATACTGCATCCCTATAGTTCTTTGTACAGAAATAAGCTAAATCTCTCTGAGGGAGAGAAGTGGGACATAGCAGAGTGGAAAGAGCCCCAGAAGAGGACGCAGAGGGAAAAGACTGTGATAAGGCCACATAAGCACTCAATTCTCCCATCTTGGGTGGTCTTGGCCAAGGTCCAAAGGAGTTTACTCCATCATCTGTAAGATAAGACCCTTTCCAGTTCTAATATTCTAAAATCCATAGATAGGGTACATAATCTACTTAAAATGTTTTGGGAATTGGTCAAAGAAGCTGGATGTTGCCTTCAAGGATTATGAAATGGCTAAATATATTTTCTTTGCAAAAATCTTGATTGTGCTACATCAAAAACTAATGATGTATGGTGACTAACATAACATAATAAAATAAAATTTAAAAAAAATCTTGATTGTGATGAATCCATCTGCTTTTCAAAATTAATTTCTGAAGTTAATAGTAAAGTATATGTATAAATTATAAATATATATGTATGTGTATATATGTGTGTATATATCTCAGGATGATTGATACTTCCACATTTATATCCACAATAACATTCCTTTACTATATTTCAGTTGACTCGTAGGATATCCCGAGAGGTGTCCTCAAGCCAAAATAAATGAGTCACTTCACTTCCCCTTTTGGATTCCTCCTGCTCAGGTGTTCCCTTGCTTGCAGCTAATGTCTGCATATTTCTAACAGATTCCTGAATCAAGCATTGTCTTCTACATACTCCAAATATTTCCTAATGAAACCAAGTTAAATTTGTTCTAATCTTTTAGAGCCTGCTGAGTCTAGTTAACTGGATAAACTAATTTGTTATTGTTGTAGTAGATGTTAAAAGTGAATGTGTTCAGGAATAAAAATCAACAGGAGTCTTTTGTATGCATAATATACAATTTCAGAAACTCTACCACAAGCTTTGTGGCTTTTTTTCTAGTAATCAGACTAGCCAGGGTTCTTGATGCTGTGGTCTGTTAGTGATCAGGCTGCTGACCCAGGATAGTTCTGCTAGATGGTGCTGATAGAGCCCTAAATAAATAACCTATCATTAATTCTCTTCATACCTGCTCTTGATTTTTAGATACATTCTTTTTAGCTTCCCCCAATCTTGTTACTACTGAGGAAGAGCAAATAGTCATTGGAAGACTTGGAGAAGATATAATTCTCCCTTGCTCATTTGAAAGTGAGCCTGAAGTCGTAATTCACTGGAAGAATCAAGATAACTATGTTTACTCATACTACAAAGACAGTGACTATTTGGAAAATCAAGATCACAGATACACAAACAGGACATCCCTCTTCCATAGTGAAATTCACAATGGGAATGCCTCTTTATCTTTAAGAAGATTAAGCCTTCTGGATGAAGGAATTTATGTATGCTATGTGGGAACAACATCTAGAAAAATCATAAATAAAGTCGTACTAAAGGTGGGAGGTAAGCAAGCATGTAAGATTTTATAAAACATAGCAATGATATCATTCCGTGTTTTTCTGAAATACCTTTTTCTTAATTGAATATGCTATGGGCTTCCTTCCAAGTCAATACATACAAATCTACCTCATTTTTTAAATGCATGGTATCTCATAGTATAGACATGTTATAATTGATACACCCATTCTTCCACTGGTAGATATTCAGGTATTTCCAATGATTTATACAACAAATGTTGTGCTGAGCATTCTTGTATTTAATAGTGGGAAATGATCAGAAAGAAAAGTATCAGAAAATTTTAATACATTACTTTGACCAGCAGCAAAATAGTATCCATTTTCCCCTTAGTCTTAGCAGCACCTAATGTTATCAATCTTAATTTCTGCCCATATGATATTCTTTAAAATTGTTGAATTATTGGCTTAATTTGTTTAATTTTAATATATGCTTTCTGTCTGTATTAACTTTATAACTTATTTATTTATGGGGGAGGGGCATTTTCTAGTGGGTTATTTTATACAGCACTTGTTTCTTCTTTTTCTGTCTCACTTAGCTGCTTCAGACTTTAACTCAGAAATCTAAAGATCATGTGTAAACAAAGAATCAAAAAGGTTCTGAGTTATTACCTGGAGAGTACAGAGTGTTTCATGAGCTCTAGTTTATATTGGTTGCTCAGCGAGGTCATTAGATTTCTTTTTAGAACTCTTACTAGAGAATTAAGATTGCTAATTGCTAAGAATTCATGCATGCTTTTTTTTTTTCACTTGTGATAACCACAGTATGTATCCTAAGTTTGTATAGTTTTTGTTTTTCCTTTAGTAACTGCCAATTTTTGCTCATAAAGCTTAGCTTTTCATTTCATAGGTATTAAAATAATAAGTGTTGTGCACAGATGGCTTAGAAAGAAGCTAATGACAGTCCCTCATTGTCCTTCTTTCTCACCCCTAGCTTTCGTCACACCTGTGATGAAGTATGAAAAGAGGAACACAGACAGCTTCTTAATATGTAGTGTGTTAAGTTATCCTCATCCACTTATCACATGGAAAACTGACAATACATCCATCTCTGAAAGCAATATGGAAAAAATTGAATCTTCGGGTCCTTTTTATGTTGACAGTATGATAAATATTACAGGATCAAATTTATCTTATGAATGTGCTATTGAAAACTCATTACTGAAACAAACATGGACAGGGGGATGGGCAATGAAAGGTAGGTTCCATTGGGCTTTCTGTGTGCACGTGCTATGTCAGAGGTTGGAAGGAAATGAGGATTGATTTATAGGGAAAGAATGGAACACAAAAGAAAGAAAATGCATCCTCACCGGTGAGAAGACCAAGACTACAGTCCCAAGTCTAATATTTACTGACTCTGAGCACTAGCTCCTCACTGGCAAAATGGAAGTAATTCCTACCTGCTAGGTGTTTGAGTTGAAGGAAAACATGTGAAATGGAAAGTAGCAAATCTATTCATGAATATTATCATATTTCTCTGATTCATCTTCTAAATAGAATTTTCTACCTGAATTGTACTTTAAAAGATGTGAGAAGAAAGCTTGCCTATTAGATCCACAATCTGTGATGCTTGCCAATCTTTCAACTAAACAAAAATTCATTAGTATTATTGCTTCTGTTTATTCTCTTTGCATAGTATTAGCCCATTAAACTTTATCAACAATTCTATCATAGCACGAGCAGTTTTTAATACTCATTTATTTGAACAAACTGAAATTTTGATCAATCTCTACATCACCTACTATTTAAGATTAAGAGGAAAAAATTAGTTTGACATCTTATCCAAACTTCACGGAAAAATGTTTTATATTTTAGAAGCAAAGAAAAATGTTTTAGTAAATCCCCATTATATGGAGAAAGTGGAGGTCAGCTATCCTTTTTGGCCTTCTTTTCCTGAGTTTCATATTCTCAAAGTGCTTGCCAAGAAGACCCTAAGTTATGAGTGATTCTCCACCTTTACATAATCTCAGTGTCAAAGGCATGGTTGTCAATGTTCAGTTTTCCAGGTGGCAATGGAAACTTGAGAAAGTATTGAAAATATTCATATTAAATTGTAGATATTTTCTTTGGAAAATCATATTTTCTCATGTTTATTCAGAATTGAGTATCCAGAAGCATCCACGGTTCCTTAGGCTCAGTGCTATGTTGTCTTGTTGAGGATTTATTATACGCCAAGTTTGTTGCTATCAGTCTGTGAACTTAAGAATGTGTACGCTTGAGGTGCCTGAGTGGCTCAGTCGTTTAAGCGTCTGCTTTTGGCTCAGGTCATGATCCCAGGGTTGTGGGACTGAGTCCCTCATCAGGCTCCCTGCTCAATGGGAAGTCTGCTTCTCCCTCTCCCTCTGCCCCTCCCCCTTCTTGTGAGCTCTCTCTCTCTCGTTCTCTCATTCTCTCACTCTCTCCCTCTTGCTCTCACTCTCTCAAATAAAAATCTTAAAAAAAAAAATGAATGTGGATGCTTATTCATTTCTGGATCCACAGCATCTAGTACAAACATGTAAAAATTAAACTAGGAAAATAGCATATAAAGGGAGCAATTAATTCTGTTCACTGTGGTTGGGTATAGAATATCTGAGAATATCCAGCAGAGTCCCTACTCTCATAGAGCTCAGTCCCGTGGAGGCTTACCTATACACACTTGGAAATATACTTGTAATGTGCAGGAAAAGAGACTTTGTGCAGAAAGTGATTAAGAAGCAATTGAGACAATAGAGACTACTAGAGAGTAGACAGAGTGGCAAGAGGAGGGTCCTGGGGAATACCAGCATTTGAGGGGTCAACAGAAGAAGAACATTGAGTTTGAAAGCCTGGTAACTGGTAGCAGCATTCTTGAGTACTCACTCTCAGGTGTAGGAGTTAGAAACCAGTAATGTCACCTCACTAGCTAGTCCAGGCGTAGACCTCCTTGAAGGGCTAAACCTAATCATGGGAAGTGTTAAAATGGTGGTGCTATGTCAGAGGTTGGAAGAAACGCATTTCCAAAGGTATTTCTCGAAGCATTGCTAAGTGTAACTTAGAAAATTCATTTGAAATTGTATTTTCATTGTTTCCTTTTCTATCCTGTTTTTAGATGACCTTCATAAAATGCAAAGTGAAAATTTTTCACTCTCATGTGAACTTAATAACAGTATTTTTTTACTGGATCAAGACTTCAAAGTCACTTGGTCCAAAGTAGAAAAAGAGACCTCCTCCATCCTGGCTTACTTTCTGAGCTCCTTACGAAATACAACTATCTATGGACCCCGAGTATCCTGGAACAAAGAACGAATAAACCAGACTGACTTTTCCTTGACTTTGAAGGATCTTATTCTTTCAGACAGTGGGGAATACTTATGCAATATTTCTTCAAGCAAATATACTTTCCTCACCATCCAAGCACTGCATGTAGTAGGTGAGTTACAAGTGGGGTTGGATAATTGGTTTTGGCTATAGCAGTAGAGATTATGAATATCAAACAGGAAATTAGGTTGGCATTTAAAGAATAATTCTGATTAGTATTTCTGAAAACGTTATCTACAGGGATATTTTTGGTCAAGATGTAGTCAACCGCCTTCTTTCAAACACGTAAGAGTCCTGCATTGAAAAAAAAATTATTTCCATAAGATTTCCTTTTCATAGTTTCAAGGTTTCAGAAATGAAGGAGGAACCTACATGATTTGGTGACTCTATAGCCTAATTATCCTCAATTCCTGTTTACTGCTATGCCTAACACATGCTTTAGGGTCTGGGGAGTTGAGGCTTCAGGCACAGTAAGAAGTTAGAATTGGGACTCTGGTAGATGCTAGGGAAGCATGGTCTGTGAACTTGGTGGAAACAGCCACCAACGGACATTGGAAGCACTAAGTGTACACTGATTCAGCTCATTTTTTACCTCTAGTGATAGCTAATCGCCAAAACTCTTTAAAATATTTCTAGTTCACTCTCTATAGAGTCATGGCACATGTACCCATGAAGCTGATTTTCTAGGTGGGCTGGTTGATCCCCTTACCCTTAAGCTATCAATTGGATATCATGGGACATAGTGGCAGCTCTCTATTAAAGATATTTGAGTCAGTAAAACATATTTTAAAAACATTTCTATTATTTTAGTTGTGAAAATTAGGAATAACAGATCTGGAGGTTCAGTGATTTTATGTAGTGAGATTTAGAGATAAGAACACAGAGTTGCCCTTAGGTCAAGTAGTCTTTGAATAGAAGCTTCTAGACACTGAGGGATGATACTCCCTTTGTGCACAGCTGTCATTTTGAGAGTGCTGAAAACGGGCGCAATTGAAGCTCCTATTTTTCTCCCAAATAAGAATGTTAGTTTCATGTAAAATATAGATAAGCTTACATTCTATTTTTCAAATTTTGCCTCATGTTGGATTCATTTTGGAATGTAGGAATAAAAAAAGACAGGAAGATATGGTTCTGAAGATCACGTATGACCCATCTTTCTAACCAGAGATTTAATTTTTAGTTTACACAAAGCAAAGCATCAGGACTATTCTATCTCTGACAAAAGAAGCTTTTCAGAACCTCCCATTCCCAAGTAAACCCTAGCCTGTTGCGACTGGAGGAGGGTCTGCCCATACTCTCCCCCCAGAAAGAGGTGTGTAGCAGGAGCAGCAGAAAGAGGGCAGGGCAGCAAAGAGGGTAAGCACTGCTAGTATCCTAGATAATCACTCTCTTTATTTATTTATTTATTTATTTATTTATTTATTTATTTATTATATGTTATATTAATCACCATACATTATATCATTAGTTTTGTTGTAGTGTTCCATGATTGTTTGCATATAACACCCAGTGCTCCGTTCAATACATGCCCTCCTTAACACCCATCACTGGGCTAACCCGTCCCCCCACCCCCCCCCTCTAAAACCCTCAGTTTGTTTCTCAGAGTCCATAGTCTCTCATGGTTTGTCTCCCCCTTCGATAATCACTCTTTCAAAGAAATTTGGTTTTCTCTTCTGAATCACAATTTTCTACTTGTTATCTTACCCAGGAGATACTACAGCATTTGAAAAGGAAGCCCAGATTGGGGGGTAAAGGGAGTTATGATTCCTAGAGTCTAGATCTACTTAATAAAGGTTGCATGGAATTGAATGGAATTGAATAATTCTTGCTAAATTTTGCTGCTGAATCACTATGTGATGTTGAGCAAATCTCTTTACAGTGGAGGAAGTGAGGGTGACAAAGTAAGAAAATGCTATACCTTGCAGGACTTTCTTCAGGAGGAAAAGTATGCATGTTTTTTTTTTTCTTTTTAAGATTTTATTTATTTGTCAGAGAACGAGCACAAGCAGGGGGAACGGCAGGTAGAGGAGGAAGAGGGAGAAATAGACTTCCTGCTGAACAAGGAGCCTGATGCTGGGAGTTGATCCCAGGACCCTGGGATCATGACCTAAGCCAAAGGCAGAGGCTTAACCAACTGAGTCACCCAGGGGTCCCGGAAAACTATGTGTATGAAAACACTTTCGAAAGTCAACATTTCTACTTAATTGCTCACTCTTTATATGGGTATACAATTTCAGAATGACACAAATATGTGTAGAGATTAATGTTTTAGTGGTTGCAGAACATTATTAATAAAGAGTATGTTCATAAAAATGGACATCTGTTATATTAAAAAAAATAGCTATAAACACTTTTTCACCTTGAATTGGCCTGTGTGCTCTAATGCTTGCCCCTACTCTGTGGCAGAATGTAGATCACAAGATTAGCAGATTCTGACTTGAGTAATTCAAAGTCTCCAAGTTTCTGCCTTCTGGGGTCCTACTTCCTTTAATCCTAATTACAACAATTATAGTTCCAACAAAGATGCTGGAAAAATCCCGGTTCCTCCAGTGATTCTGAGGAACATCAAAAGTACTCTATTATCCTGGTGTTTGCCTGTCACCTCTCACTCAAGGCGCTGACTTCTCTACTCCACTGATCGCCTCTGCACTTACCCTGTTCCTCTTTGCCCCTGTCTTCTCCAAACTAGGGGTACACTCCACTCTCTCTTCATCCTCCAAGGAGAATGCTGGGCTGAGGTTATTCTGTAGTCATAATTATTCCTTTGTAACTGTGTGTTAACTCTTTACAATATAAAACAAGAGAAACTCACAATGCATAATAGACTCATTGCTTCTCAAGTTTGCAACCTTTTATTTCCCCCAATACCCACCCCCTACCAAGCCCCAAATTGGTTAATATTCCAGCTTATGTAGGTTTTCCACAGTAGAGACATTGAGACTGGGAGGTATTTATGCTCATAAATGCAGAAATAACTAGTTTTAAAATCATAAATGTGTTCTTTGGTAATTTTTCTTCCAGCTTATAGACTTTTTATTTTATTTAGAACAGAGTCAAAGCAGAACCACGTGGATAATTATTCCATCTTTGGTGATTTTGGGTTTCCTGGCAATTTGCATATTCTGTATATTAAAAAGATACAAGTGTTCCAGGAGAGGTAGGTATCTCATGGAGAATATGAGCTCTGTGTCTGGGTGTTCAGGTAGAGGTGTATCAAGGATGACCTGCAGCTAACCCTACACGACTGTTGGGCATGTAAACAGGTCTGAATTTTCTGGACAGTCATTTGTAAAATTTATCAGAAATCCTTTAAAAAGTTCCCACATTTCCAGCTAACTATACTTCTAACAAATGTATCCTGAATTAAATGTTCAAAGATGTAACAAGCCATATACAAGCACATACATTGCAGCACACTGAAAAAATTTAAATCTAGCACTAAAATAATACACAGAATTACCAAAATTATCTCACACTGAAAAATAGCTCAAAAGAAATAAGCCCAAACTTTAAAAATGGGTGCCTTTGGAAAGAGTTTGTCCCTATGTCTAGACTTGCTTTAGTCCCTGCACTCTCTTCTCTTTCTTTGAGCTTTGTCTATGCTGCTACTGCTTTGTCTTTTATGGGCCAATTTATTTTAATCCTTGTCGCATTTTTAAAACACTTTTTCTAGATTTTCTGCAACAAACTTGGGTTACTTACAGGTAATTTAAAATGACACATTAAGCTGCTATGGTCACAGGACTTCTTAGAAGACTTGACTTGTACTGACAGAATTAAATCTAGGAAAAACTTAGATGTACTTATTTCCACATTTTATAGACCAGGAAACTGGAATCCAAGAAGTTAGGTGCATGAAACAGACTTATGTATACTACTTAAGGTGACCCAGCTGCTCTCTCTTATTCCATAATCTGAGAAACCTAAGAGTCCTGGGAGGTTGAGATAGATCCTATGTCCCTTCCTCTGACTGATAATCACCTTTTGCCCCTGACGAAGTTAGGGGATTTGGTCATAGCAGACAACTTTATTGAAAGTAAGATATTAAGCGTGACAATGAGCAAGAGTTTCACCAGTTTTACCCTGTGATTGTTTATACTAATAGGCAGGCTAGTCTTGCTTATTACTGGTTGCTCCTGTCCCTTAGCTGGCCAGAAGTAGAAAAATATGGGAAATCACAGGCAAGTCTAGTTTGTCCCCTAAAAGCAACCTCTGACCTCATATAATGATGCTTGTGACTAGATTCGGGTTCAAAAATTATAGGACAGAGGGGCCCTACATACTGCTCCAGAATGACAGTTTAATTTCTATATTAGAAGTGTGCAAAAGTTAAGTCCCAACAGAAAATGCCTGGCACACTCACAACTGTACAAGGGGGAGCACAGAAGATAGTTCATTTCCCCAGAGCTGGGAGCAGCTGATTTGCTAGCAAATCTAAACTGGAAGGGACAAGGAGAGGGTGCAGTTCTCAAAACCCAGGAGGAGAGAGTCATGTAAAATCAAATGCCTTGTAGGGAGAGTGACTTTTACTTGAGGACACAGCCAGACCACAGCGACCTTACAAAGAAGGAGCTGGAAGAATAAATATGTGATTTTGCCCTTCCCTCTCCCTGCTCTCCACTCCAACTGGAAGTCAGGGGGAAGATACAGCCTGTAGAAGGAATCCGTCCAGGTCAGCTTCCCAGGGCAGACAGCAGGCTGGGTTCTGATTCTGGAGGGTCAGTCAGGAGCTATCAGCAAAAACAATGTCAGGGTATTGGCTACTTAAACAACCAATGTTCTATAGCTCTGTAGTTAGATAGGCTGAAAATATATTTCAAGCTGTTACACTAAAGGCCCCCAACCATTGCCTACCTCCAGGTCCTTGGTTGTAGTTCCATATGACCATGGTATGTGTTTTCTTTTTTAATTTCCTTTTTTTTAAATTTTATTTTATTATGCTATGTTAGTCATCATACATTACATCATTAGTTTTTGATGTAGTGTTCCATGATTCATTGCTTGCGTGTAATACCCAGTGCTCCATTCAATACGTGCCCTCTTTAATTCCCTTTTCTAGAACTGTTTTAAAATGCCCTTAGTCTAGGATAAGTATAAATTATCCTAGATTTTAGCAAGGCACAAAAGGAAGGCCTTCCTTGGAAAACAGCATCGTACCCCTTTTTCATTTGCCATTGATGGGCTTAATCACCACCTCCTTGGCTGTTATCTTCCATTGTTAACAGTATGACTCAGGCCAACTACCCTAAAGAGCCAGGAATTCCTGGCCTGGTTGGACAGCTTTTATCCCTTCTTTGGTACACCTGAATCAGCCGTAAGAATTTATTGTTATTTGTAGCTGATGAGGTATTTCTACACTGACTGCATTTTTAAGGCTGTTTGTTGGAAGAAAGATATGAAATGGGGAGTAACTGAGGTGAGTTTAATAACATAATTGTACTGAGGTACGAATAAAAGATTTTGAGTGTTTGCAAAAAGACTTTTTTCTAAGTTTCTCTTTTTTTTCCCTATAGAAAGGTCTTCTGTCTATACTGAGAGGGCCAACATGGCTAATGCAGAAGAGAGCAAGGTAAAGCTGTTCCTTTATCAAACCATCTATAGCATAAGAATGCTACTATGAAAAAGTAATCAATTCACATATCATCATGCAAGACTTTGACATAGGGAAAAAAAGGGTGAGAGAGATCACAGGGTAACAGAACAGGAAAAAAAATACAATTAGGGCTTTTTCCAATGTCTATAATTAAATAGGCTCTACTTAAATAAGTGGCTGCTCTTCTCATTTCCTATTGTTACTTATGAAGAAGATCTCCAGAGGCACTATGCATTTGATGGTGCACCAATGTACTTGTTCTTCCAATGGAAGCATGGGACTGTATAGAAGTAGAAAGAAATACAAAGTGAGAAAAGCAGATTACAGTTTCTGCCCAGATTCAGATGGTTGGCCTTCCATACTTTTCCAACCACTTCTAGGCTCCTTGGGGACTGATAATTCACTTACAAATTATAGTTTGATGGCAAATTCAGTTGTTTAAAATGGAGTTCAACTTTTTTGCTACACACCTTTTATTATGAGTTCCATTAATCAGAATATAAAAGCAAAGAATGGGGTAAACATGTTTTTTCTACTGGTTAAAAACTCAGGAACTAATCTAAATGGGAGATTAAAATCATAACTACTTATAACTGTCTCATGGATTTCTTTCTTTTTTTTTTTTAAAGATTTTATTTATTTATTTGAGAGAGAGAGAATGAGAGAGAGAGAGCATGAGAGGGAGGAGGGTCATAGGGAGAAGCAGACTCCTCGCTGAGCAAGGAGCCCAATGCAGGACTCGATCCAGGGACTCCAGGATCATGACCTGAGCCGAAGGCAGTCGCTTAACCAACTGAGCCACCCAGGCGCCCTGTCTCATGGATTTCTGATTACAGATGCAAACAATAGCTCTAAAGCTCCTCACTCCCAAAAACCAAAACAAAACACTATCATCATTAAATGCTTAAGATAAAAATGGTTATTCTGACATGAACCACAGCCATTTTAAGTCCATTTTTCTTGGTTCTAGGCTCTTTCAGAACACCCAGCTAGTACAGGAAATTAAGACAGGAATGTGTCAACACATGAAGAGCATCCTTAATATCCAGTGACTTCACTTCCCCTTTCTTCACTGCAAGTCCAGAGGTGGCTTGTCATGGCCTAATAATTCTACCATTGGAAAGACTTGAAACCATTATCTTTCCCACTATCACATTTATTCTTCAAGTCCTAACCATCACTCTCTGACTCCCTACCTGCATCAAGATTATGAATGCCTGGATGCCAATTCAAGCTTAGAAAAGAACTGTCTCATTCAGTGACATTCCTGCTGCAGTCCAGGAGGCCACACTGAGATTCCCACCAAGATCTTGGAAGAAATGTATCACTAAGTGTTGATTCAAAATCTGATCAACTAATGATGAGTGAGAGAGCACCTAGAAGCAGAAATCACCTTAGTGAAAAGGTGAAAAACCAGGGCAATTGATATACTAAGGTATCGTACTCCAGCTTTATATGAATAGTTAATAATTAACTAGATTTAATATGGTGAGTCTTAGGGACTCCAAAGTGTAAAAATGTCAGTATCTCCAAGATTGCCTAGAGCAAAGGGCCCTATCAACTCACGAACTGACATCTCTGGGGGTTGGGTTATACCTTCCAACACCAGGTTTGCATAGCTGAGTGACATTAGCTATGAAGATAATTTGATTCAATCTTCTGACTCGGTTGTCATATTGTTAATCAGCCTAATAATAAATTTAGATTTCCACATAAATTTTTACACAGAGAGAGAATGGATAGCCCAGCTGACTTGATGATCTCTTCCCTTTATTTTAATCAATTTATAAGAAAGTCTAACCAGGATTTTAGTGACTTAAGTTTTGACCCTATAGTTTATAGGAGAAAACCAACCCTGAATTGTGTATTCATGCTACCTCGTCTGATTTTCTCTAAGTATTTGCTACAATGTTGTGACAGGCATTCATCATAAACTGTAAAGTATTGACATCATTATAAAGAAAAACTTTAATTGTGAGGAGAAAATGCTCAGAACTGCTATACTCTTCTTACAAAACGGAAAGACCAAAGTCAACAAATTGAGGATGGTAGACAAGAATGAACCTGGGTCCTTCAATGCTATTGAACCTCTGAATTAATCATAGAGCCACCTGTATGAGTCAAGGTTGGGGTCAGAGAGGCAGAGTGCTGGGAATGACAGAGAATAGGGACTTATTATATGGAATCAACATTATATAATTCTGGGCACTCATGAAGAAGTCTGTGTCAGGCTGTCCCCTCTGCATCTGGGGCTGGGCCTGAAGTAGCTGGAAGTCAGCTGTGCCAGTGGTCAGGAAGGAGAGCTGGATATGGAGTGAGGATGAAAAATGAACAGGTGCTCCTTCACTTCTCCCTCTCAAACCTGGTGAAAATTTCTCTTGTGACCAACTCTAATCCAGAACCACACAGAGAAAGGAAATCCAGGAAATGTTCCTTCTGCTTAGCACAATATAAAGCCAGCATCCCACCTATCACTCAGCTCTCTTGTGTGAGAAACTGCACCAACATGTAGCCTACCTAGGTATAGATTGGGAGGATTTAATCTACAAATTATTTTTTTAAGATTTTATTTATTTGACACAGAGAGAGAGACAGAGAGGGAACACAAGCAGGGGGAGCGGGAGAGGGAGAAGCAGGCTTCCCGCCGAGCAGGGAGCCCGATGCGATGCGGGGCTCAATCCCAGGACCCTGGGATCATGACCTGAGCAGAAGGCAGTCACTTAATGACTGGGCCACCCAGGTGCCCCTAATCTACAAAATCTAAGTGCCTTTGACTGTATGTACATCACAGTGCTAAGAGGAAAGTTTATCAACCCCTACCATTAGTGGCTAAAAACAGAGTCATGAATTATGTTACTATGTTATAAGTAAACTTCATTAACTTTACTTAAAACAATTTACCAACATACCCCAGGCTTCATGGCCTATGTCTTCCATAAATATTACTTATTAAGAGGCAATATGGACAAAAGAACAGGTATTCATTTTTTTAACTTCAGAATTAAAACGATTCTTATTTAATCTTTTATGTAAGATGTTTACTTGTATTTGAGGATCTGAAAAATCCCCAGTAACCTTGGAAGCAGAGACTCTATTACATTTTCTAATCACCTTGTTTAAACTGCTTTCCATACCACATAAACATTTTTTAAATGCTTGTTTCAAAAGCAACATGTTTTTAAATGCAACATGGTTTTTTTAATGCTTGTTTCTAATGCAACTTAAGTTTTCAGCCATTAAATGGTACCATCCTTGTACTTGTCCAGCCCCTATCCTTCATAAGCAAAGAACTTCTTATTCTTCATGAGCCTGAAAAACAGAGTATGAGTGTGCTCGGTGAGATTCCTGTGATTTTCATCAGCGGCACACACCCAGAACGAAGCCCAGTCCTTTCCAGAGTAAGCAGGCCTTAGCCAACTCCTCATTAGCTTTGAAGGGATGCAGGGAATTGAGGCAATTATGTACATTACAGAAAGCAGATACAGGTAATTCATCTGAAGGACATGCTTGGGCACTCTCAATTTTCTGCCCGCCTAGGCTTGTCGGGGAAGGCAGTGCCCTCTACAAAAGACCCCACAAGGGAAAGACTGTGGCCACATCACCAACTGGTTCCACAGTCCAGACAGACACCCAATTCTTTCAGAAAACCTTTTCTCTTGGTTTATGACAGTTGAGAGATTTTTCAGGCTTTCCTTCTGAGAATGGGAAACAATTAGTCATTGCACTGCCAAGGATGGTTTTCCTAGTCATCTCGGGCCTCTCAGAAGCAATTTCTGCTTCACTCATTTTATTCTTTGTTAGAAATAACTGTGACAAAGTCGAATACATTACATATGTTTTGCAGCCCTTTCGACCTCCTCCAGCTGAGTGCAAGCGTAACACATGGGAGGCATTTCCCTAAACAAAACCATTATATGGAGTTGATGGGCAGGCCCTGCCTCTAAGACCCCAAATCCAATGCCATGACCCTTCTCAAATTGAGGGCAGAGTTCAAACCACTTAACTGGACCTCTGCTCATAGGCCTTATCCCTGAGACAATCTTCAGGCAGCAACAAGAAATCTCTGGAGTGTGCCAATGACTCATGCTTCTCATATTTAGATCTAAATATATTCGATATAACCAACTTTTAGATTCTCCTTCAAAAGAGATTATTTTGACCTCCTTCCAGGTAGTATGTACTATGGACAACCCTATCTGCTTATCTTGCAGAGTTATTAGTAGCTCATTTATGATAAGAAGACCAGGTATGTACCAAGTTTTTAAAAATGAAATGGTACCTATCTGTGCTAGGCACCGTGCTTTATAGGCATTCCATAAAGGGCAGTGAATGGCGCATTATCTAATGCCCTTTAATTCATTTCTCCTAAAGCCAGACCTCATTAAAAAACCCTGTGTTTGTGGGAAATCTCAGAAAGCTGGGGCTTCCTATTTTGTATAACCCCCAAGTTCATATGTTGAAATCTCAATCTCCACAGTGATGGCATAAGGAGGTGGGGCCTTTAAGTCATGAGGATGGAGCTCTTGTGCATAGGATTAGTGCCTTCTATAAAAATCCCCAGAGAGCTGCTTCCCTCTCCCCACCCCTTTTACTACGTAAGGACATAGAGAAAAGGGCCGTCTATGAGGAAGTGACCCTCACCAGACACTGAATCTGCCAGCACCATGATCCTGGACTGTCCGCCCTCCAGAACTGTGAGAAACGTTTGTTATTTATAAGCCACCCAGTCTCTGGCATTCTGTTAGCAGCCTGAACAGACATTGACCCTGACAAGCCTACAGTTCGCTGGTCTTGGTCGTGCTGCCACTTTGCTAGAAAAGTTAGGGTGGCAGCCCCTACCCTGGGATCTGAATAGTAGTGTTGAAAACCACAGATAGGGGGAAATAACCCTTTCCCCTTGTTTTAGGACAGAATGAGGGATAAAGCAGAAAGCTAGAGAAGACAAGTACATTTATTCTCCACTGCCTCAACTTTAAACCTCACCACCCAGGTCTCCATACTGATCCAGTATAAAGTCAGGTACTTATCTACATAGAAAGACTTAACTCAGTTTCAAGCAGATCCATCTGTGCTTTTAAAATCATCTTTGCTTTCTGGACTCCTGACTGTTCTACACAAATGAATCTAGGACCTGGAACTCGGAGCCGGCAAGTTCACCTGGAATTAAGCATTTGAGAAGTATAAATACAACGTACATTCCACTCAAATGCTTAACACTGTATATTACCTGGCCAAAGAAAATTTAGTAAATATGGGAAGAGCTTAGCAGAACCTACTTTTTGTTTTTTCTCTTCAAAGTCTTTTGAAAAATAATTTCTTGTTCTACTGGTCTCTGTAATGACATGAGCTCTAAACATACACACTTTAAGAATTACAACAGAGTTGAATATCTGACATACCTTTTTTCTACACTCTTTTGCTTTGATCCTGAGTTTATTGACTTGAGATTCTATCTCTGCCCTTTCCTTAGCTTCATTCAACTCATGTTGCTGCTTCTTATACTTGGAAAGATATTGATTGGCTTGTACTTCCTATAAAAATAAAAAAAAAAATGAAAAAATATCCCTGTGCCTGCATAGTCATTTTTTTCTGCTTTGACATGAAAAAGTTGAAAAATGTGTGAAAGGAATCTAAACTTCTGAGTATTGAATGGAATATATTTTGGTATAATATATAAGAATTCAGACTTTCTAATAGGCATGAGATCCATTTTTGTAACCATTGTTCTCTGGAAATTTAGAACCTGCTCAGCACGTTCCACTAATTGGAGCTGGTATGGCTTTCACAGGCATGTTACATGTAAGAAAAACCACAATTGTTTCATAATCAGTTAAACATTCTAGTTTACCTTTGAGTAGAGGGGGTTTATCTTTAAAAATTATACAAGTCAACAGGTAATTTTTAGTCCTAGCAGTGTTTTAGCCCAAATCATTGAAATATAGGCGATATTAGGTATAAACCAATGTATATGGCACTTATGAATTACATTCTATGTAGCTATGGATATTAATCCAGGGTTGGCAAGTACATTTCAAATGATGGTAGTTTGGGCCACAGTTATGTCCAGGCTCATCAGGAAAAAGGACTGTGAGCCACATTATGCTCACCCAAGGTTTTGGGGTGAGGAAGGCCCCAGAGTGCTTACCTGGCCAAAAATTCACCATCCCTATGCAACACCATGTTCTTACTGGACTCATTTCTTACAATTTACATGTTTGAGTATAAAACAAGGTTGAGCAAGAGCTCTGGCTCCCTGGAAGGAAAAGTAACAATTTTTTGAACATTGTGATAATTCTAGTTTGAGAAAAACTAGAGAATGAACAGACTTTAAGCTGAGCTGGTCCTCTCCAGACAAAGTGCTTACCTATCTCCATTAATCAAAAACAATGGCTGGGAAATCCATTAGACGGCAATAGCCCCAGGTACTTACGGCTGCCTCCATTTGCTGCTTGTAACTTTGTACTTGTAGCTGAGGTTTATCCATCAGAGTCTGCATCCTGCTCAGATTTTTCTTGTCTTCCTCTGCCTGAAATGCTTAGGTATGTATATGAAGGTGATTTGAATGATCCAGCAGTCTGCATTGGGAGTCACCTCATGAGCAAGTAAGAGTTAGGAAACTTTATTAAACAACATATTTGAATTGTGATTTGAAAAATGGGTCTAACTTTACTGATCCCTAGTTTTGAGAAATTAACACAACTCTGAGCACTGACAGTCTTTTCTCCTGATCCATCACAGAACTCCATTAGCCTTTTGCTGAAATAGAAGTTAAAGCCACTAGTTTCAATTTGGTCAGCAGCCCTCCCATCCTAACCAAGCTACACCTGCCTGTGGTTTCTCAGGAGGAATGAAGTACCATTGTTACAAAAGCTGCATGTGCAAAACTAGAAACCTCTCCTCTCACTAATCAAACCAACTCTTCCCTTGAAATTTCTAACTGACTTTTGGCTTTGGATAATGAAACTATAGAAAAGGTAAGTTTTCTGGAATTCTGGTGTGGGCATCAGCAGAGATAGGAAAATTTTATGAGCTGTGGGGATATTGGTGTGTACATTCTCATTGCTTCCATTGCAATCAGGCGTGGGCTAGAGAAAGGAAATCTACTAAAATAGAGTTCCTCAACTGTGCTCTATAGAGCCTTGAGTATTCTGAGGAAACAGGAGGGGAGAGGCAGGCAGGAAGACTCTGCACGTCCTCCACTTTCCTATGACCTTTCAACTAGAGTATCTCCATTTTGGAGCTGTTGAACTTCCCAAAAGAAGAACATTTCAAATGGTTGATGGTTGAGATACTGATTTAATCAAGACCTACCCCTGCTGCTCAAATTATTTTCCTGTTTTCATCTTACCTATTTCATCAAATGTCAACACCTTTGGTGACATTCATGGTCTTTCCACCTACCTTCCACTGCCTTCCACAAACCTCCTCCACTCCAAGTAGGCTCATCTCCTACTACCTCACAGCTTTCCTGCTTATTTCCACCTCTGTAAATTCATTCAATATCTCCCCCCCCACACACACACACAGCACAGAGGCAACAGATAGAAACACCCAGTCTTTTCATGAAAGATGTCTCTTTGCTTATCCTAGTAGCTGCAGGCTAGGGGCAGGCTTCTAATTTAAAACACATCAACGGGCTGACTGTGATACTCTCCAGAGTCTGGAGAGGCAAGTAGGCATATTCACACTTGCCCTCTGCCTCACACCAGGTTTCTGATATCTCTCAGAAAGGAGCTTGTGCATATTTGGCACCCTAGTTTTGTGGCTGCTGCCCAGGGAATACCCCATGAAGGCATGGCTCTGGTGGCCAATGGGACTTATGCTCATGGGTCCCATAAGACTGCAACAAACAAAAACTGCTTAACCACCTGCCCCTTCCCGGGCCATGGCACAGTATAGTAGCAGCATACCGAAATGCCATCATTCTGTAAAAGAGACCAATTCATTTACCTTAGTAGCTGTGACTGAGGAGTTGACTTCTAATTTAACATACATCAAGGGACTGAGTGCAATCTCCCCCAGAGACTGGGAACTCGGTAGGGGACAGCTTTATGCTCTCCATCTGTCCCACCCTAGCTTGCTGATGCTGCCAAGAAAGGAGCTTGTGCACAGACCTGGTGCCCTGGATTTTGTAGCTCTGTGCAGAAGACACATCCCTTGATAGCCTGGCTCTGGTGGCCAGCAGGGCTTGTGTTCACAGAATCAATGGGACGGTAGCAAACAAAGAAACTGTTCGGCTCAGCACAAAAACAGACAGAAATGTCTATCTCCCAGTCTTCCCCTAGAAGAGGTATATTTGCATATTTTAAAAGCTCCTACCTGAGGATCCAGCTTCCAGTCAGCCTGCATCTAGGTACTGAGATCTTCCTCTTTGGGACACTAATAGGCTAGGACATCCTCAACTATTGGGAGCCACTAGGAACAAAGAAGACTGCTTGAACAATCACAAAGATTTTAGAAACAACCAAGAGCTAGAGAAGTGTTGAACAATAAAGATCATCTCCTACATGTGGCCACTCAATCAAGACTGGAAGAGGTATCTGTTTTATGTAATGCATAGAAATCAGTACACAAGGAAAAGAAAATGAAGGAACAGAGGAATGTGCTCCAAACAAAAAGCAAAATAAAATCTCAGAAAAAGAGGTAAGTGGTTTATCTGATAAAGAGTTCAAAATAATGGTCCTAAAGAAGCTCACCAAGCTCAGGAGAACAATGCATGAACAAAATGAAAATTTCAACAAAGAGACAGAAAATTTAAGAAAGTACCAAACAGAATCACAGTGATGAAGACTACAATAAGTGGACTGAAAAGTATAATATGGGGATTCAACAGCAGACTAGGTGAAGCAGAAGAAAGGATCAGTGAACTTGAAGACAAGGGCAATGGAATTCCTCTTATCAGAACAACAAAAAGATAAAGAATGATAAAGAGTGAAGATAGCTTAATAGACTTATAGGAGAACATCAAGCAAACATTTGCACATAAGGGTCGCAGAAGGAGAATAGAGAAAGGGGCAGAAAGTTCTTGAAAAAAAAAAAAATAATGGCTGTAAACTTCCCTAACCTAGGGAAAGAAACAGACATCCAGATCCAGGAAGTTCAGAGACTTCCAAATAAAATGAACCCAAAGAGGCCCACACCAACACACACAATATTAAATTGTCAAAGACAGGGAAAGAATCTTAAAAGCAGCAAGAGAAAAACAACTTGTCAAGAGAAAAACAACCCCATAAGACTGTGTAAGCAGATTTTTCAGCAAAACCTTTCCAGGCCAGTAGGAAATGGTATAATATATTCAAGGAGCTGAAAGAAAAAAAACTACCAAACAAGAATACTCTACCTGGCAAAGTTGTCCTTCAGAACTGAAAGAGAGATAAACAGTTTTCCAGACAAGCAAAACCTAAAGGCATTCAATATCATTAGACTGGCCTTACAAGAAATGTTAAAGGGACCTCAACAAGCTGAAATGAAAGGGCTCTAAGAAGTAACAGGAAAATGAATATATAAATCTCATTGGCAAAGATAAATATATAAAATTCAGGATAATATGCTGTTGTGGGTAAATCACTTATATATCTAGTATGAAGGTTAAAAGACAAAAGTAGTAAAAATAACTAACTTCCAAAATCTGTTAATGAATACACAAGATAAAAATATGTAAATGGTGACATCAAAAACATAAAACATGGGCAGGGAGGAGAGTAAAAATATAGAACTTTAGAATGCATCCCAACTGAAGCTTAAAATAAACTATTATAAATACAGGTTGTTTTATGTAAGACTCATGGTAACCACAAAGCAAAAACCTACAGTAGATACAGTAGATACAAAAACTTATAATAGATACACAAGATAAAGAGAGGAATCTGACCATATTACAGAAAATCATCAAATCACAAAAGCAGAAGAAAGGAACACAGGAATTACAAAACAGCCAGGAAACTAACTGGCAATTATGTACATCCCTATCAATAATTACTTTAAATATAGGACTAAATTTTCTCTAATCAAAAGACAAAGTGGCTGAATGGATTAAAAAAACAAGACTCATCTACCTGCTGCCTACAAGAGACTCACTTCAGATCTAAAGACACAAACAGACTCAAAGTGTAACAAGATATTCCCTGCAATTGTTAACCAAAATGAAGGTGGGGTAGCTACACTTCTATCAGACAAAATAGATGTTAAGACAAAGATCTTAATAAGAGACAAAGGTCATTATATAATGATAAAGGGGTCAATTGAACAGGAGGGTATAGCATTTGTAAATATCTATGCACCAAAATAGGAACATCTACATATATAAAGCAAATATTAACAGATCTAAAGGGAGAAATAAACAGCAATACAAAAATAGTAGGGGACTTTAATACCCAACTTTCATCAATAGATAGATCATACAGACAGAAAATCATTAAGGAAACATAGTCCTTAAACAAAACATTAGAACAGATGGACTTAACAGACTGTATACATTCTAACCAAAAGCAACAGATTACACATTATTCTCAAGCATGCATATAAGATTCCTCAGAATAGATCCTATGTTAGGCCACAAAACAAGTCTTAATAAATTTAAAAGGACTGAAATCATATCAAGTATCTTTTCTGACCACAACAGTATGAAACTGAAATTATAAGAAAAAAAAAACTGGAAAATTCACAAATATATGAAGATTAAAAAACATCACTAAACAACCAATGGGTCAAAGAAGAAATCAAAAGAGAAATTAAAAAACCCCCCAAAATATTTTGAGGCTTATATGCAACTGTTGAATCACTAAACTCTACCCTCTGAAACTAAAACAAAACAAAAAGTTGTTCTTTAAAATACTTTGTTGCTATATTGTTCTTCACATAAAAGTTTGTACCTCTAATTTATTCATTGTGAATTTTACCTCTTATCAATATAAACGTACTTTTTTTCCATCAAAAAAATACCTTGAGACAAATGAAAATGGAAATACAACATACCAAAACTTATGGGATACAGCAAAAGCAGTTCTAAGAGGGAAGTTCATAATAACAAATGTCCACATTAAGAAATGAAGAAAGATCTCAAATAAACAAGCTAACATATATATATATACATATGTATGAATATACATATTCACAACAGAATATTACTCAGCCATAAAAAAGGGATGTAATCTTACCATTTGCAGCAACATGGATGGACATAGAGGGTATTATGCTAAATGAAATAAGCTAGGGAGAGAAAGACAAATGCCATATGATTTCACTTATATGTGTGATTTAAAAAACAAAATGAAGAAACTAACAAAAATAGCAAAAACAGAATCTTAAATACAGAGAACTGGTGGTTGCCAGTGGTGGGAGGGGATGGGCAAAAGAGGTAAGAGGAGTGGGAAATACAGGCTTCCAGTTTTGTAATGAATAAGTCATGGGATGAAAGGCACAGCATAGGGAATACAGCCAATGGTATTGTAATAGCGCTGTATGGTGGCAGATGGTCGCTACTCTTGTGGAGAACATAGCATAACATCTAGAGGTGTCAAATCACTATGTTGTAC